TGATTGTGATTGATTTTAATCTGGTTATTTTCAAACCTACCATATTTTTTCAAAATTTCTTGTAAAATAAAGTTTTTAGTTGAAAAAGATAAAAGAATAACTTTTTTGAAGTAATCAGTTAAGTTGAGCTTAGTAAACAGTCTAACTTTGATAATAAAGCCTAAACAGTCTACTGTCAGTGTTTACATTTTACGGATATTATGCAGACGTAATAAAACTATGTATATTTTTTTCTAACATTTGGTGAGTAATAATTTGAATCAATAAGACAGAACGGAATAAGACAGAACATATTAACTATTACGGTTTCTCATAGACAGCAATTAATAGCATACACCGTAATATAGTTCTGTCTTAAACATTAGTTTTTAAGCAACAATTAATTATACTACAAAGAATGTATCAACTTTATTCAATGTTTTTGTTGCCTCTCAATTCACTTGAATTACACTTACAATTATCATCACTTAATAATTTGCTCCTTGTTTCATTTTTTTAGTTGTTTTTATTGAGCATAATCTGTTTGTAACTATCCAAAACAGCTTTACAAACAGTTTAGCATATTTATTTCTAGTTGTTTGACTAACCATAAAAAAACTGTTACATGGCAACAATTTTTGCGACTGTATATCTTCAGCTTTCTCTTTTTTTTTTTTTCAGCTTTATTTATCTACGGTCAATTGCTGCATTACAGTTTTGCTATATACAACTGTACTTTTTTTCTCTTATATTAAAAAATCAGGATGAACAAATTTTTACCACCTTGGTCTCTGCAACATTGGAATCGGTGAAATTTATCATCAGTTCATTAACTGGATGTTATTTGGCACGATTATTGTTGATCAGCGTCTATCTTAAAGTATGCATTTGTAATATTTTTTTGTTCTAGTTTATAGAACTGAAAAACATTACCTAAACTACAAATAGTATAAATTGAAAATTTTTGATTCAATACTTCTAACTGTTACAGAATCAATAAGTTACAACTCACAAACACAGATACAGTAACATCATAGAAATCTTGTCTAAATCGTTTACTGCTTATTAGTTATCAATAAATTAGATTTGTTATATTATAAAAAATAATAAAGAAAAAAAAGTTCTTCTACTATTATCATCGTTGTAATTGCTGTTTTAGAGAGGACGAACATGGAACTCATATTCAGCAATTGTAACACGTAAATTCTATTGGTTGCTACCGTTTGCTGTAACCATTTTATTATTTCGATTACAACAGACCATACTATCGGAGAATAAATGTTCATCAATGGTCAAAAATAGCTCATCTTTACAACCAACAGAATCCTCGCTGCTATTGCAACATCTCGTTCGATGGACAGTGTTATTTTTCACTGACTATTCAACGCCAATTATAATTAGGTAACAGCTTTATTGATATTTTCTCAAAAGTATTACTTGTGAATTTAAAAAAATTATTTTT